GGGAACCGTCCCAACACTCCCAAGGAGTGAGAGTGTGAGCTCAGAAAAAGACCATGCACTTGTCTTTGTCAGCCAGAAATCATCCCCCGAAACCTCCTTATTAGCCTCTTGCAGGTCACAGCCAGCACAGTGGTGTGACCCTGACTTGGAAGGATAGCATACTGGTTTCTCAGACTCTGGCGACTGCCCTGGGGCTGGGTGCAGATCAGGCTGAGGGCTGCAGACACCCTTGCCACGGCCACCCAGCTCAGCACCCGTGTGCAGCAGACACACACATGTGGTACAGGAGTTCCTTTCTCTGAGTCAGTTTGTACTGGGATGCTGGCGTTTCCCTGGATGACGCTGCCCTTCTGGGCATGCGTCATTCTCAGACTGCTCAACCTGGCCAGATTCCTTGAATTTGAAACACAAGGATCGGAGTCAGCTTGTCTTTCAGAGTGCTTCCCGGTGCCTCTGTTGTCCCATCAGGCACAGAGGGGACGCTGCTGAAATCACCTTTCGTAGTCCTCTCCTCTGAGGGCCTCGGAAACCCATTTCGGGGTAAGCTGTGGTTTTATTGCCCAGTCTTATAAAGATGCTATTTGAATTTGTACGTGTAGCTGCAACAGTAAAAACAGGATTTATAATGCTGGAGATTGAGGAAGAGTTTTGCAACTCACCCCAAAGGAGAAGTATTGAATTTGTCAGCTTCCCCCTGACAATGGGGATTGATGGCACTCCACCGCACTGGTGACCATGTGGGGACTGAAATAGATCCTTGTGCAGGGAGGAAGGTGGAGGGGGTATCAAAGATGCCCTGCTTCCCTCCATTCTCGGCCAAAGGGCTGACAGGTGCAGGCTGGATGCTGATGGATAAAGCCGCCCTGTGGGAAATGGGCTTGTTGAGAGACCCAGGTGCAAGTCCTGGAGGCTGGGAGTGGGGACCACCTGCTTCCCCTGGAGCACCAGCACGGGGAGCCGGCGGTGTGTGGGCATCAGGTCAAAGCTTCCCTACTCACGTGAGGACAGTGTGAGCCCCACCCCATCCCTCTGCAGCCTTTCTGGCTGGGGATGGTGGCTGGAGGGCAGATCTGGGAAGGGGCTCTAAAGAGAAATGAAAAAGAAAGATGAAGAGGGGGAAAAAAAGAATAAAAATTAGGGAGGCCATTGAGAGGACCATGGGAGATGGGAAGAAGGAAAGTGGACCCAGAGGGCGGGACGTTGGAGACAATGTTTGTGGAGGTTCAAGGATTTCTTCCCTGATCAGGCAAATCCTCACGTTCCTCTGACAGCTGTCCTGGCAGGAGAAGGTGCCCTCAGACTGGGGGAGAAGTTGACCACTGTGCTCTGATGTGGCTACTCCTCCAGTGATGAGTGTGGCTCTGTGGGTGAGTACCAGACTGCGAACCAAAGGGTCGCCAGTTCAATTCCCAGTCAGGGCACATGCCTGGGTTGAGGGCCAGGTCCCTGGTTGCAGGGGGCGGGGGGATGCCTGAGAGGCAACCACACATTGATATTTCTCTCTTTCTCCTTCCCTTCCCCTCTCTAACAATAAATAAATAAAATCTTTTAAAACATAAGATGTATTTTTGTTTCTATCTAAAAGGATGAGGCAAAAGAGGACTTTCCTTGCCTTGCCTGTTGTTCTGTGGTTTCTAGAGCTGTCTAGGGTGGGTCTGTGGATGGAGGAACTCTGGCTGTTGCCTAACAAGGTGCCTCATACTACAGAAATGGAACTGCTTGTCTTTGAGAAAGCCACTTGGCCCTCCTATGGATGGAGGATGTCTCGGAGGGAAACCGGATATTTCTAAACTTGCCAGGACCCACTTCTCCCCCTTGCTCTCAGACAATACTGCTTTGGGGTAGTGCAAATGTGGTGGCTAGCTCAGCAAGTTGAGCCAACAGTATTAATTGCAAGTCATGGCGAAACTGAAGTGGTCCCCGTGGGGCAGGAGAGTGGGGCGCAGGTGGAGGAGAAACTTAGCTTGTGAGTTGGGACAGGCTGCCCCAATCTGAGGGCACCAGCTGGGACACCATCTAGGGGCCAGGTGGTGCCTAAGGTGGACCTCTCAGAGTTGGGTTTCCGCAGTCCCAGGTATAGTTGTTGATCTGTGGGGCCACAGGTGAATTCTGTCCCTGGGTGCTCAGGGACAGCATCTCAGAGAGATGAGGGGTAGCCCACCAGATCCTAGACACACTCCAGATGCAGTGGGTTGTAAGGGGTGATGGGCTCTTCCCAGTAACCCAACACATGTATTCTCTGTCTTGGTGGTAAGGTCCCTGGAAAGCTGACTGCTCCCTTAGGTGGTCATTTAATGAGCGTAGAATAAGCCTAAAGTGAGTAGGATTATTTGGATGAGACTTGGCTTTCCCCCCAAGTCCTGGGGCAGCCCCAGGGTGTCACCAGCCCCCTGACAGCAACCCCTCTGGTCTAAGGCTCTGTTCACCCACCCAGGTCCTGCTGCAGGCCACCAATAGCACTGGCCTCTGGGACTCCCGGCATCCTTTGCTGTGGAGTCTGCTGACCATCTTTCATTAGAGATACTGCTGATATCACGGAACAGCTGTTGCCACAGGCGGCCCCACCCAGGCTGCACCTGCCATTGTGAGTAGATTGATTCTGCTACACTCTGAATTCTGGCGGGCAGGCCTCCCCTTCCTGCCAAAGTCATCTGCGTGCAGACTTTCTGGGGAATTTCCATGGCCTACCCTTATGGTCTCTGTTCCTTTCTCCAGAGATATAATTGACATATGACAACATGCAAGTTTAAAGTGCACAACGTAGTGATTTTTTATGTGTATATTGCAAATTGATCACCACAGTAAGGTCAGCTAACATATCCGTCGCCTCACATAATTACATTTTTTTTTTGTGGTGAGAGCTTTTAAAATCTATTCTCTTAGCAGTGTTCAAATACACACTACAGCACTGTTAACTAGAATCACTGCAGGATCGGTCTGTATTTTCACCAAAGTGAGGGAGGAGGGTCAGTGGCCTGACAGTAAGGGACCTACCTGTTTTATTAGTTTGCTGTGTGACTTTGGGCCAGCCCCTGGCCCTCTCTGAGCCTTCTGTTTCTTACCTGCAAAATGCAGGTTTGACACCAATTATCTCTGACCACCCACAATTCTCTGATTCTGGGATTAAGAAAAGCAAGAAGGCCAAGGCAAGCTAGTATGAGTTTCCTCACCAGGAAAGTTTCAATTTAATAATAAGAAGGAAAAGACTCAAAGTAGTTTCCACCAGGTATTCGAGCTTGCTTTGCCGGGCCTGTGTTGTGAGCACGGGGGAGGTAAAATCTTAGTAAATCCTCATCACAATCCTAGCAGGCCAGCACTACATTGATACTTATCTCCAGGTGATGACGCTGAGCCTCGTGATGGTAAATACCTTGTGAAAGGTCACTGGGTTAACACGCTGGGGCTCCGTTGCAGATTCTGCTGTCTCTGGGGTCCGTGTTTCCCTCTGCTTTTGGGGAAGCCCGAGGGAAGCTGAGAAGCAGTGGTGGGTCCGACCCACTTGTGTGCCGGGGCTGGCAGCTCTGTTTGAATGTGCGTCCTTTGCTCAGACACCGGTATCATTGCTACACAGGGTTTCGATCTTAAACAGACTTGCTTGCTTTCTCCCTGTTCTGTCTTAGGCAGAATAATTGAATAAATAAGTGTTTCTTATCATACACCCTTAATTTTCTTCCAGAAATGAAAGGGTTATGTCCCTCTGCTTCTGTTGCTCAGGCCAAAAGAATTCTTTCTCTCTTCTTGGGTGTCCAGAAATAAGTTAACATTTAATTAAAAGTTTTCATGATTTGACAGCTGGAATGAGGATCAAGTAATAATGGAGCGACCTGGGGAGCGCCGGAGGTGGATTCCCTCCACTGGTTGTCGGAGCTCCAGAAGGTTCGCAGAGCCCAGTCCGAGACCAGTGTGTTTCCGTGTCACACTTTTCTCCTAAGAGAACCACGCTCCCACGTACCTCCTTCACCTCTGCCGTTCCCTTGCCCCAGAATGCCATCCCCTCCTTTCTGCCTAGAGAGCCCCTTACCCTTACACACTCAGGTCAGGTGTCACTGCCCTTGTGTTACCAATTACTGCAAATTAGGCTGATTTGTTCACTTCTCTCACTCAAATGTTAAGCACTGGTGAGGCATGGAGGGCAGGGGCCCGGTCTCACTCGTCTTTGGGGCGACCCGGGATCTGTGCTCACAAGTTGCGTAGAATATATATAAACTTAGTAAAGGCTTTGAGATATGCTACTTTCACGTGCATGTGTCAGCAGCGAAAAAGTTCCTTTGCCATTTGACTCCATTGTCCCTGTGGTGTGGGGTTTGCTCAAAGGAAATAATTGAAGAAGAGAAAGTAAATCACACATGTATTTGGTAAATATTAGAAATAAGTGAAATGTTTAATATAGTTTCTTGATTATGCTATTGCAGTTGTCCCATTTTCCCCCTTAAATTTCCCTCTGCCCTGAACCCCCCTCACCCGAATCCCCATCCCCACACCTTAGTTCATGTATATGAGTCATACATATAAGCTCTTTTAAATATTTTTTAAAGATTTTATTTATTTATTTTTAGAGAGAGGAGAAGGGAGGGAGAAAGAGAGGGAGAGAAACATCAATGTGTAGTTGCCTCTCACGTGTCCCCCACTGGGGACCTGGCCTGCAACCCAGGCATGTGCCCTGACTGGAAATTAAATCAGCGGTCCTTTGGTTCACAGCCTGTGCTCAATCCACTGAGCTACACCAGCCAGGCCTAAATATTTTTTTAATTGTTGTTCAAGTACAGTTGTCTCCATTTCCCCTCCATCCCCCCCGCCCCAGCCATCCCCACCTCCCACCCTCGATCCTACCCCTCTTTGGCTTTGTCCACGTGCCCTTCATACATGTTCCTTGACCACCCTTCCCTCTTTCCCCCCTTTCCCCCCTCCCTCCTCCCCTCTGGTCACTGTCAGTTTGTTCTTCATTTCAATGTCTCTGGTTCTATTTTTGCTTGCTTGTTTGTTTTGTTGATTAGGTTCTACTTATAGGTGAGATCATGTGGTGTTTGTCTTTCACCGCCTGGCTTGCTTCACTTAGCGTAATGCTCTCCTGATCCATCCATGCTGTCTTGAAGGGTAGGAGCTCCTTCTCTCTTTCTGCTGCGTGGTATTGCATCGTGCGAAGGGACAGTACAGGACCTGGATGGGACATGTTTTCTTTGCTCATTGATTAAACAAACACACTGCTAAGGAGGTATGGGAAGTACAGCAATGAGTCAAATGCCTTTAATGAGCACACAACCCAGCAGAGCCTTCTGCAATGATAACCACACAACTACAGAGAAGCAGAGAGCTGCGTGTGGCCGAACGTTAAGAGAAAAAAAGCAGATTACAGAACTGTATGTTATGATTGATTGCAATTCTAAGCATGCGAGGGTATGAACAAGCTCCGGATGAGCAAAGGACAATGCTGCGTGGTTGGATTGTAGATGACATTTTCTTTAGCATTATCAGAATTGTTTTTCAAGCTTTGAAGTTTAGGCCATTTTAAATGTTTACTGAACAAAGAAAGCTGCTCCCTCAGCCCTGGCTCCCTAGCTGGGCGGTGGCCTGAATGATGTGGTTATCTGCAGATGGGCAGGGGTTTGCCACAAGATTGGGAGGGAGCGTTCCAGGCAGTATGGAGGGCTGGGCGGGGGGAGGCTACTCTGCACCCAGGAGTGTCCACTGAGAGCCAGTCCCCTCCGTGTCTGGGCTACAGCTGACTGCAAGTTCCTTTGGGCTCTGTCCATGCCACTGCTTCAAGCATGGTGCCAGGTGGGGGGCAAGCTGAAGTCTGGGAACCGCACAAGAGTGTCAGAAACTGCGACAGTTGGTAGCTGGTTCTTTATGCTGGAAACCGTGCTACCGATGTGAAAAGTGCCATTATCTCTATTGCACAGATGAGGAAACTGAAGCTCGGTTGGCCCTAAGCTACCCAGTGGGTAAGTGACAGAGCTGGGATTGGAAACCCTTCTCCATGTGGGCCAGGGTTCTTTCTTATTCTCTCCTTGGGCCCAGGAGCAGGTGAGGATACATGAAGCCAGATGGAAGGCATCTGGCTGACAGGGTGAGTGGGAGTCCTTTGAAAGGAGGAGGCAATGGAGAATCTCTTGGTGGGACCACATGACAGAGTGGCTCAGACGCCGGGCATTTGAGTTTGAACTTGAGGCAGGTGGCTATAGGGGGCTTTTATAGGTTTGGGAACATGAGAGAAAGAGTTTATTAAAGAAGAGGCTAGTAGTGTGGACTGGCTAGTGTGATGGGAGGGAAGGCTGGGCCAGGCACATGGTGAGGTTGGTGGGCAGCTCTTGTTCTGTGTGATCAAAACAGCACCCACCCCTCCAACTTCTTGTAAATATGTCTTGTCGAACCTCTAGCCATAAGATGGGAACAGAACCTGCCATCTTTTCTGTCCCTTGTCCATGGACACCACCACCTGATCCAGGGATGGGCAGCCGATACAAACTTGGCCAATCAGAGCCCTTCCCTGGGAATTTTGACCTTGAAACCAGAGAGGGAGGAATGGGTCTCAGTCCCTTTCTGATGGCAAAGCTGTGCTATCTGAGTCCGGGCACTCTGTCACCACTCAGAGATCTGAGAGTCAGAGAGGAAATTCTGGTGAGGTTCAAGCCAGGCGTCCGTGCACTCTCGGGCCTCAGCCAACCCTGGCAGGTACCACAGAGTGAACTATACTCACCCCCTCCTTTTTAGCTGAGCTAATCTGAGTCAAACTTTTATCAAACCAAAAAGCCCCAACTTTTGCAGTAAGAGACATGCCTGCCCTTTCTCATTCAAATTTTGAGCACGATTTTCAAAAACACCTTAAGGTATTTTTGTGGGGGGGGGGGAAGGGTAATTGGGCCCATTATTTCTTGCATGTAAGAAAGAAAAAAAATGCATCCTCATTTTTCAGTGTCAGACTCAGGAGACCCAGGCTCTCTGTAGGGACAAGGCTTTGGGGATCTCTTCAGAGAGCAATGGACGCATCTCCATCACTGGTGTAGTAAGTCGCATTGCTACTCAGCACACTTTCCCTCCTGCTCCTTTGTGATTCCGAAGCATGGATGGAACCACCGCACACAACAGCCAGGCATTTCCTATACACATGGTGGAGATACCTTCTGAACTTCTCCCCAGCAAATGCGTAGATAAAGGGATTGAGACAACAGTGGACAAATGCGACCGTCTCGGTCACATTGAGGGCCAGTTTCAGATCCTGCTTCATGTTACAGCTGGGAAAGAAGTTGTAGAGGTTGAGCGTCTCTAAGAAAACCATAACGTTGTAGGGTGTCCAGAAGAGGAAAAACACGATGACCACCAGAAAGATGAGTTTAATGGCTTTAGCCTTCTTGTTGTTCTTGCAAGAAAACAGCGTCCGCAGGATTCTGAAGTAACAGTAACTCATGATTAGCAGGGGGAGCAGGAAGCCAAGAATATTTACTTCCATGTTTCGGAGCACAGGCCAGATATCCTGCAGGATCTCAGGGTAGTCCCCAAAGCATTCGTTCTCCGTAAGTTTTGTGAACATGAACTGGGGTGCTGCCACCAGAATGGCGGCTCCCCAGACGCCTAGGCTGATGACGACGCCGTGCTGCACAGTCCGGTTGTTCATGGAGCTGGCGGCCAGGACGATGGCCTGGTACCTATCGATGCTGATGATGGTGATGAAGAATATGCCTCCAAAAAACCCAATGAAGAAGAAGGCGGTAGTGAGTTTGCACGCAGCGTTATGAAAGCCTTCGTCCCTGATCTGATAGTGAATCCAGAAGGGCAAGGTGACTACAAAGAGCAGATCGGACAAGGCCAGGTTCAGGAGGTACATGTCAGTGATGCTCTTGGGCTTCTGGCTGTGGGTGAGGGCAAACACCACCAGCATGTTTCCCACCAAGCCAAAGGCAAAGACGAGGGAGTACACTATGGGCAGGAAGGTGGTCCCGAAGTTCACGATGTCCCCCAGATTACAGGCCTCTGCACTCTCATCATACTGAAAAGCTTCTGAAACGATTTCAGGCAAGAGGGTGGGCATGGTGGGGGCCTGGAGCAGAAGGGAAAACAAGGAACGACGTGAGTTCTCAGAGAAACGAAGTCAGAACCCTGTCTGTCCCCGTACATAGGCACGCTGCTAGGGACAAATAGTGGTTGGTGCATAAGCGATCCATTTCCCAATGTCACACATGCTGTCTCACTGTATCCCCACGCCTGTCTCCAATGGAGGCTGTAACTGACTCCTTTGACAGGAGAGGAAGCCAGGTCTCTGAGAGTGACTTGTCCAAAGTCACCCAGTCAGTGGGTCCCCCAGCATCTGAATCTAAGCTTTTTTTTTTTTAATTTTTAATTTCTAATTATTTTTAAAAAGATTTTATTTATTTCTTTTTAGAGAGGGGAAGGGAGGGAGAAAGAAAGAGATAGAAACATCAGTGTGTGGTTGCCTCTCACATGGCCACCACTGGGGATCTGGCCTGCAACCCAGGCATGTGCCCTGACTGGGAATCGAACCTGCAATGCTTTGGTTCGCAGCCTGCGCTCAATCCACTGAGCTACGCCAGCCAGGGCTGAATCTAAGCTTTTTGAGGCATAAGACAAACCTTTTTTTTTGTCATATTTTTTCAAAGTTTTTTCAACAGTAGCTAGCTTTACCAGTGTGTGGATAGGGGAGAGAGGACCATGGGCAAGGAGGTGAGGGGTGCAGCCCTAGTTCCCACTTCTAGTCCCAACTCCCTAAAGCAGTTCTCTACCCCGTTCCCTCATTCCCACCCTTCCGCCCTCTGGGCTGACTGTCTCCTGCATGAAACTGAGACTGGAGAGAGGCCCCAGACGCTCTCCAGGGCCCTCAGCAGACCCATGCCCAGAAGTCCTTGTCTTTGTTTCCGGGAGCCATTTTTTCCCTCCTGCTCTTGAAACCGATGAGTTCTTCTCTTGCATTGTGGATAAGACACAGAGTCCCCTGCTCTATGGTGACTACCTTGTGTCAACTCGCCCAGGATTTTTCCAGTTTTAGCACCGAAAGCCTCCCCTGCAGGAGTCCCTGCCTTCTAAGCAAACCCAGATGGTGGGTCATACCATCGCTCCTAGACACGAGCAGGTGTGGCCGCCCTCTAGGCCTCTGCAGCCAGTGGAAGGGACCGCTTGGCCCCCAGTGGAGGGCTGTGCTCAGCCTGCTGCGCCAGCCCTGCGCGGCTCATCCACTTGATCGTGAGCAGCCCCACACTCTCCTTCCGCCTGGCCCTCCCCACTCTTCTTACTTCCTGTTTCCTCCTGCACAAACATGGAAAGAGAAGACATTTCTGCACAGGTTGGGGAGTAACACTTGCCCATGTCCCCTCCCCTCCCCTCCAGGACTGGCTCCTCATTCATTCCAGAGGCTACAAAAGCAGCCTGGCAGGAACGCTGGTCCCCGGGGCTCCCGCTGTGCCTTGTGGTGTCACAGACAGGCACCTCAGAAACCCCAACCGCAGGCAGGGCGCACCTCCTGGTTGTCGCTGCATCCCTTCCCACCACAACTAAAAGCAGCACTCACACTTCTTCAACCAAGGGAGTTTTCACACCCCACTGTTTCCTTTTCATGCTGGCTTTGCTCAGTTGGTGAGGCGCCAAGGTGAGAGCCCACCCACCTACGCAGAGATGGGCCCTGCCCTGCACCCAGGCTCATTTTTGCATCTGACCCAGACCCCCCAGGACCCAGTGGGCCAAGGCTCCGACCTGGGCTGTCTCAGGCTGGGAGGGAGTTCCCACCCCCAGCACAAATCTATGCTTTCTTTGCTTTCGGCCGCAGGGCCCTTTTCTCACAAAGGAGCCTCTGGAAGTGACCTTAACCAATAACATTTCAGTTGAACCATATAAAATGGCTGATATGCCACCGTGTTGAACCACACAAAGGTTAGTTTCGTTTTGGATGGTGCCAGCTGAGAGGGAGAAACAGAAATCGCTACTTGGTGCCCATGGCTGGTGGCAGATGCATGTCTTCCCAGACATGCAGATGGGAGGGTGTGCAGTCAGGCCCTTGGAGGTCATCATTCAGGATCTCGGGGCAAACTTCCTTCTCCCTCCCCTTCCTCCCAGTGACAGGAGCCGGCATGCTGACCTGGAGAGGAGGCCAAGGTCAATACAAATCACGGTGCAGCTTTTCGAGTTCTTGAGCTCCATCCTGCAGCCCACGAACTTTGTGCATTTGGATCGGCTTGATTTTGCCAAATGTGCATGAGTTGGGTTTGATTTCCACTCTTGGTACTCACTGTGCCTTACGCACAGGGACCTCCTATAAATCTCCAGGCAGGTGTCCCTCGGCCACTGAGGAGGGAGAGCAGGCGATGGGCAGGAAGAGTGAGGGCTGCAGACTTGGGCTCTCCCAAGGTGGTGTCCCTTGTGTGCCTTCTCTGACCTAGTGACCTTGGGCGAACTTGGAACTCTTGGGCCTCACATTCCTCACCTGCAAGACTGGGGTTCATTCTCATGGCTGCCTACGGTGCCGTTCTGAAGTGAGCACCTGGCACAGCGCATTGCATACAGCAGGCACTTAATACATACACTAGGTGAGAAAGCAGAAGCACTTTGGACGTTTGGAATCATCCAGGCAGCCCGTGGACTCATGTTTCACTCCTACCCAAATTGTGAGTATTTGGTGTGGAATGGATATTTTATTATTTTCCCCTGAAATTAAAAATGTTTCCTTTATAATTTTTTTGGGGGGGGGAGGGGAGAGGGTGGAAGGAGGAGGGAGCAAGCCAAGCTTTACTGAGCTTTCACTAAGGCCCAGAGAAGAGACCCATCAGACTCACGGACAAACACTCCACGTTATTATCTATTTAGTTCTCTCTGCAACTCCGAAGGGCAAGTCCTGTGTTTAATTCACTGCCTTGCCGAATGGCTCCGGGGAGATTCGTGGTGAGAGGGAGGGAAGGCTGGGACCAGAGCTGGGGGATGGTAGAAACAGACAGTTGACTTCCAGGCTGAGTGGCAAGGAGGTCCAAATGCAGCCCCTCACCACGCTGAGGGGCCTGGCTCAGGGCAGCCACAGGCACAGGGACACTTTTTCTAATTGGCACCCAGACATCAGATAAGCCAGGGGTAGTCCCGGTTGGAGCAGCTCAGCATCCATTCAGCAAGCACACAGTAAGTGTCCAGGGGCACTTTGCTCAGCACGGCAGGGGGCACGTGGAAAGATCTGTCAGGCATAGTCTCAGCCATGACGGGGCTTGTCATCTCAGCGGGGAAGACTTCACACAGGCCAAGGCTTTGGTAAGGACAGAACGCAGGCGTGTGCCAATTTATCCTCAAGATGAAATGCCATTTCAGATGTGCTTGGGAAGGGGTGATTGTGCCCGACTGTTGGCCACAACAGTTGCTTATTGCAAGTAAGACCGGTTGGTCATGGCATTGGTCTAGCTTGGGACCACTCCCTGCCAGCCACAGGGTCTGTTCAGGTGAGGATTCAGCTCGCTCATGGCTCAGCATTACCAGCAAAGACCCCAGAAGTGTCCCAGCTCTCACTGCTCTGCCTCAGCACTTGCACATAGTAGGTGCTTCCTCAGCATGCTGGAGTCCTGCTATGAGCAATTCTGCACCATGATACAGAGGAAGGAATGGAGGAACACAGCTTTCAGTGAGCTCCTCAAAGCCTAGTATTCCGAAATAACAACAACAGTATGTTGTGCATGCTCAATAAATGGTAGCCAACACATAACAGGATTATTATCTCTATGGGCAAGTGGATGCACTCAGAGAGGGTGAGCAATTTACTTAAGGCCACACAGCTGGCAGGTGGCAGGGCTGCAGTTTGGGCCCAAATGTGACCAGTCTCAGAATTTTTTCCCAACTTTGCATTATGCCCCTTCCCCTGTCCTAAGACTACGGGTTCTTAAGAAAAACAGTGGTGTCCTCTTCAGCTCTGCAGGTCACTGTTCAACAGAGGGAGACATCTGCACAACAGAGCAAATGCACAGGAAGGAACACTTATAGAAGAATTAATATTGTGCTCTAGACCTTCCTCCCAAAGAGTTCCGTGTGAGTAGAGGCAAGAGCAGGCCTTCCGTTGCCCCATTCCCAGGGGCATTCACAGGGCACACAGGTGTCCTTTCTGATCACGGGCCAGGGACCCTTGATCTCTGAGAGCTTAGTGGGCCCCTAGTATGTCAAATGAATGAATGAGTGAATGCGTGAGTGAATGAATGAATGAAAGGCCTAGAATACAGCCTTCCCATACAGAGCCCCAGGAGAGAGCACAGGCCCACCAGCTCTCCAAAGAGAAAACAACTTAGAAAAGACAGTCACTCATCTCAACATACACTTTCAGTGCATGGCTGTTGGACATAGCTGGTCATGAGACAGACGCCAGCATGAGCCATTTGGGCTTCTTCTGTGCAGATGTCAAGGCCCAGCTGCTGCTGTGACTGTGTGACTCGGGGGTGGCCCAGGGTTTTACATGGCTGGGGAGGGAATTTGCAGTCTGTCTGAGCCCTTGAGCCAGATCAAACCCAGCCTTTCTGGACACAGGCCTGGGGCATGTGAGGGTGCCATTTGCATCAGAAACCTGACTGCAGGTGGGACTTCTCCTTCACTGAATTATTCCATTGAACTTGATAGCCTAATCAAGGGACCTTTTTAGGGTGGGTGAGCCTGAGCTGGGTGGACCTTTTCTTTCTGGATCCAGGACTGGGAGATGAGACTGGAGATCTGGCCTCCAGGCGGCGGATGGGAGTAGGGTTGGTCCATGGGGATGGCCTTCAGGGGAGGTCAGAGGGCTGTCAGGGGTCAAACTGGCTTCCACGTAGGCTGGACACTGGCTTTCCTGGTCCCTGAAGACACCAGAATCCAATGGGGTGAGCCTCAGCTAGGTAGGTTCCACATGGACACGACTGCAAGGGGAAGGGTGCGTGCCAGGGTGAAGTTCATGCCCACTGCCAACCAAGGCTGCTCTGCGCAGCTGAGGGCGGAAGCCAGCAGGAACCATCTGCCCTGGACTGTTCTCGGGCCTCCTCACACTCTCTTCCATTACATCAAGATTTGACTAAATGGCGTGGAGCTTTTAAAGAACCTCCCGCTTGCCTCCCCTGCCCAGCCTTTTCTACTTCCTCTGGTCTGCTTCCTGTTCTCAAGCCCACTCATTTATTTTTTTGAACTTTTTTTTTTTGGTCACCATTACCCACTGTTTCCAACCAGCTTCCCTTTTCTGCACTTCCTCCCTTAGGTAGCCCCAACCCCTTGTCTCCTTCTATCCAACGTTCTCTTCAGGTTGTGTCCCCCTTTCTTCTGGTTTCTGGTTCTGCTTACAGTTGGCTAGATCCGGTGCATCTTCTTCTGTGTATTTGTTTGTTTACCCTCCTTGGTCTCTGCTGATGACTTTTTAGGCCCTTGAGTGACAACTGGGGTTGAGGTGCAGTCTAATGTCAAGAAAACACACACACAAAAAAACCTCAAAGCCAAAACAAAACAAAAAACAAACCCCATGAGGTTTAATTTCGTTTTCCTTTGGACCAAAGGAAACTAGGGAATTGCTTGAGCCCTGACCCCCCAGCTTTCCCCGGGGGGATGCCTTCGTGCCACTGCTGTTCCGGAACCCGAGGTGGTCCTCGGGAAGCCCCTGGTTAGAAGGCAAAGGGGCTGCCAGTCCTGGGTGCCTGCTAGGTGTCATGCTCCCTACGCACGATCCCTTTTCATTCTCTCCACGGCCCCACAGGAGAAGCGATTACCCTCCCCCCCTGAACAAATTAATTGACGGCTGCTCAGAGAGACTTGGGAAACTTGTTTAAGAGAGCCATAGAGCCAAGATTACACCCCAGATGCGCCTCTCCATCCCCCTGGCACTGCACAAGGCTTTCCCTCTTGGAGAGATGTACGGCTTCCCGTGGGCCGCTCCTCTAGAGCAAGAACCAGCACCCCATGGGAAGAAGATGCCCGTGAGGCAAGCCCGAATGTTCTCCCTGGGGTTCGGCCTTCCGGACTTAGAACCTGGTATTTGACACTCCGTGAATGGATGGGCTGGAAATGGGGGACAGGGGGCTTATTTTCTGCCTTCAGATATATGGTGATGCTTTTCAGAGCCATGTGCCTCCTAGGGGCCCACCCACCCCATGATGGCTGGGAGACCCTAGGGGCCCACCCACCCCATGATGGCTGGGAGACCCTGGGCAACTCACTCCCAGCTCTGCCTCAATTCCTTGATGTGTGAAAGGAAAGGCTTGGAGAAGACCACCCCTAAGGGCCTGGCCAACTCTGGCATGTTCAATTTTTCAACAAGAACCAAGCAGGAGGAAGTCTTTCCCTTCCTTCTTTCCTTCCTTCCTTCCTT